CATAGACTATAGAAAAATACAAAAGAATATATACTAAATTGTTAATAGTGTTTTTCTGGTGTATTATTATTAATTTTTTTCCCCCTTTTTAAAAATCTTCTTCCTGTGTAGCTTTAGGAGGGATTTCGGATTGTGTACCTGGTTGGAAAAATACGTTCAGGTACTTGTCCTGCTGCTGAATTTGCATAGCAAACACACTGTATAGAGGGTAAAGCGGAGGTAGAAGATGTGATGAGAGCTGTCTCAAGTAACCTCCTTGGCTATGCCACTGTATTTCTTTAAAAAACAAGTCCACCCTCATAAACTTAATGCGCCTGGCAGCTTTATTAGACATATTGGATCGAAATAGACCTTTCCTCAGTGCCCAATCTGATTAATGTTCAGGAACATTATGTCACACTTCTTTGGGTTTTTTTTGGAACCTGTAGGATTTCAGAAGTTTATAGATTAGTCTGGGTCAATGAAAAGATGACAACTAAAATATAGTAGTGTTGATTCAGTATTAAATAGTAAATGAACAAATTGGTCTTTTCTATCCAGAAAATAAATTAGTCAAAGAAAGTAATCAGAAAGGACTTCAGTGTAAACACGTAGGCTCGAAAATTACAGTTTTCAGATTTTCATGTAACAAGATAAATTCCTGGTTTCAAAATATAGTTTCTGTATATTGATTCTCACTTTTAAAAGGCATGTATTGAATGGATTCAACCCCTGTATTAAGTATTCTACCTGTGATGCTGCATGTTTTGCAAAAGTTACATTTATGAATATACATACTTCACTTTTTCGGGATGCCTATAGCATATTTCTAAGTTGTTTTTATCTCTGTGTTTTCAATAGAATATGGAACTACTGAGTCTCTGGGAAACAAGAATTGTCAGATACAAGATTTAGTAGGACTCTAACAAATCAGATACCAGAGTTAAGTTTTCTATTCAAGGAAGTGCTTTTGGCCCATTGTCTGAAACTGGTCTGTGGATTTGAAGACATTTAGTATCATTGGGCCCCAGCCACTAAATGCAGATCTCACTTCCCAGTCATTGTGATGACCAAACTGTTGCCTGTCTCCTCTCTACCCCCACTTCTGGGGCGGGGGGGTTCGGGGGGATGACCTCCTTCTTTGAGAATCACTGGGAAATAAAATAGCCTTAGGAGCTGTATTAATTAAAAGTAAGTTTATTTAACAAATGATGCCTTAAACCAGAGACTTTATTTCTCTTTTCCATAGATAAGTCTGAGATACAAAGGGTAGGGTTGGTGTGGTGGCTTCATTGTCATCGAAGTCTAGACTGCTTTTATTTTCTGCTCCATTATTCTTAGGACATTACTTCCATTCTCAAGGGTGATGAGTGTGGCTGAAGTTCTAGCCATTGCTGACATTCCAAACAACCAGAAGGATGGGGGAAAAGAAAAAGGACCTTCTTTCCAGCTGGGTCTGTCAGCTCCTTTTAAGTACTGCGTTCATATTTACCACCTGTAACTGCAAGGAAGGTTGATGTCTTAGCTTGGGCTGCCATAAAAAAATACCCCAAACTGGGTGGCTTAAACAACAGAAATTCATTTCTCACAGTTCTGGAGGCTGGGAAGTATTCGATCAAGGTGCTGGAAGGTAGGTTTTATTCTGAGGCCTTTTCCCTTGGCTTGCAGGCAGCTACTATCTCACTGCATGCTCACGTGATCTCTTTGTGTGTGGAGAGAGAGAGGGAGCTCCCTAGGATCTCTTCTTATAAGGACACTAATCCTTTTGGATTAGGGTTCCAACCTTCATTAACTGTCATTTAACCTTAATTACCTCCTTATGGGCTCTATCTTCAATATAGTCACACTGAGAGTTAGGACTTCAGTATGTGAATTTTGAGAGAGAACGCAGTTCAATCCATAGCAGTTGGGAAGCTTAGCCTTTTAGGTGGGTTCGTTGCTGCCCCGAATAAAAGGATCCCGTTAGGTCCCATTAGGAAAGATGAAGAGAAGAATGGATATTGGGTGGCAGCTGGTTTTACTGCCTTAGGGGCTCTTTGCTGACTTTCCCAGGTTGATAATGAGGAGCTTGAAGTGGGAACTCTATGGATTGTTCGCTGAAGGCAGCTAAGGGTGATCTGTAGAAAATTATGAAGGGAAAGATGAGGAATATTTAGGAATGATTTTTGATAAAATACCGTCCCTATTCTCAAGAAAGTGATATCCCAAAGAAGTTAGGGAACTTTTTCCTCTTTATGAGTATAACTACAGGCAAATATTTATAAACAAATAAAGGCATCTTTACATTTTTACTGGTTTTTACTTTTCACCAATCTTCTCAATGGGTGTGTTTTCTGCTGTTCATATTATTTCTTTCCTATGTAGTTCTGGACAGAAATTGATTGACTGCTAGAGTTTAATGTTAAGGTTAAGGACGGGCTTCCAGAACTGTCAGTCCAGAACTATATGTATAGTTCTTCTTTGGAAGCCATCATAGTTGGACTAACCATTAAAGCAATAGCTGAGAGATTGATTCATTTTTACTGTAAAGATTGCCAGTCTTGTAAGAAGGCAGACTATATGAACATGCGTTGATGATGTCATAACCATGGCATGTTTTTCTGTGGTTTTCACAACTCTTTTCCTGCCTGAGAAACATGGAATTCTGGGTAGTAATCACATTCTCCTGTTCACCTTTCTCTTTTAAAATTCCTTTCTTTTACCTTTTTCAGTAGCTTTACTGAGATATAATTCACATACCCTGCTGTTCACACAATCTAAAATGTACAGTTCAGTTGCTTTTAGTATATTCACAGTGTTGTGCATCTGGCACTTTGTTCAATTTTTGGCCATTTTCATTAGCTTAGAAAGATACCCTGAGCCTCTTAGCTATCTACTTGTTCACTTTCAAAAAGAAAAAAAAGGGCTTTATCCATAAACTATACAGCAGACTACAGTAAGATAAACTATTAGCAGAGTCATTTCCTAATACTAAAATTCAGTCTTTAAAATAAGAGATAATACTGTAACTGTTGTCATTCTGTGATTGTATGTAGTAATGAAATATCATTCATTTCAATTCTCAAGAGTACTAACAAGAAGTGTTATATAACATAAGGTAATCAAGAGTGATACCCCGTCATCTTTACTATATTCTGTTAGAACCAAGTCACAGATCACACCCACACTCAGAGAGAAGAGCTTACACAAAAATGCGCACTCCCAGAAGATGGGGACCAGAACCTAGAGACTACCTAGAGCCTGTTTGTCAGAGCCCTTAAATTAGTGAATACTTTTAAGATGCTGCTTCTGATTTACAAGTGATTTTAATTAACTTTCTTCAACTGCCCTTGGCGGTAGGTTGGTGCTGTGTTTCACCAGTGATTAAACTGATCCATGGAGATGGTATTTACTTGCCAGTGACCATAAAACAGTAATGATTATACATGGAACTTCTTTATTTTAGAATATTTCCTGGCTTAATCTGTCTACTTCATGAAAAAGATTACTAAAAAAATTTTCTATTTTTGCCCAGATCTGAATTCCATCTTAAAAGGTCAGTTCTGGCTTCACCTCTACCTACATGGTCACTTATGCCACTGATTTCTGGGCTTCTTGTGACTCTGGATGCTAGAGTATCAAATAATATGGGTAAAAGTATTTTGAACTGAAAAGCACTTGTATGAATGGAAGTTGGTATTATGACTTATGATTTGAGAATCTGTTATTTAGAATGCTGTTTCACTAAGTTGTTATTTAGACAAAGTATTAATCTTTGAACTATAACCTTGACCCTTGGTTATTATTGATATTAGTATGTATGATTTTGGGGAAGAGATTTTAATTTAGAATTTTAAAAGTAGCTACAGAAACAATTCTAATTGGAGAAAGCATTCATAAATTTTGGAAGAAGAACAATAAATAACCAAGCATGTAGACTTTCCTTGTTTTGTATCATGAGATCAGAGTTTATAAGAGATTCTGATCATTTAGTATGAAATTGAGAAATGTAGTTGATATTCAGTAGAAACTTTTTTTTTAATGTGTGTTGTACTCTCTAGGTTGACTTAGTATGTTCCTTCATGGAGTGTGTGTGTGTGTGTGTGTGTGTGTGTGAGAGAGAGAGAGAGAGAGAGAGAGAGAGACTGATTTTATGTTTTTCATTGGATTTACTTTTTTACAAAGCATGGTTAGAAGTTTATAATTTGATCTCCAGGTTGGGATTTTGGAGATGTTTTTTATTTAATGGAAATCTATAATGAGTGAGCTCTTGTCCATGAATCACTCATTTTTTACCCAATTGCTGTATCTACTGAACAAGGGCTGAAAGTTTCAATTTTGGATAATATGTGACAGTTTCCTCCTAAAGCTAGCTGGCTTCTCATTTAACTGTCTCCCACCCCACCTCAGCATGGTATTAACAAGAACAGGACAGTATACTAAGGCATTAGTTTCCATACATTGCTGGAATCACCTTGAAATCTCTGAAGATACTATTTTCTGACTCTCATCCCCAGATATTCTGATTTAATTGCTGTGGGGTGATACCTGGGCATTGGGATTTAAAAAAAATCTCTCCAGGTGATTCTAAAGTGCAGCAAGATTTGGGAACAGCTGTACTAACTAAAGATTGAGGCCCTGGAATAATTAACGTTGGAGAAGATAGGATAAGAACTTTTTGGAAATGAAGTTTACAGCTCCTGGCATTCTCAATTAATAATGCAATTTTGCAAAGTTTGAAAAATACCTTATATTTGGAAATGAAAACTGGTCTGCAGAATTAGTTTCATCAGTAAGTGAAAAGTTGGTTTAATGAATCCCATTGAAGCTGTGTCTTACTACCTACCTAAATTTAGGTCTTTCTTAATTCAGTGTATAAAAAACCAATATGACACAGACAAAAAACTTCAAAAACCTGGAGATCATACTGTTTTCATAACTATGAGGAAACAAATTTTCCCATGCATTAATCAATGCTAGCTAAAAGAAAAGAGTTAAAACCTATTTAAAATGTGGAAAAATTGCTTCCCAATTTTTAACAGAGAGAGACTGAGAACACACAGCATTGAGTCGTCAGGAAAACTGAAGATCTCCCCTGAGCAACACTGGGATTTCACTGCAGAGGACTTGAAAGACCTTGGAGAAATTGGACGAGGAGCTTATGGTTCTGTCAACAAAATGGTCCATAAACCAAGTGGGCAAATAATGGCAGTTAAAGTAGGTGATGCCATGATTATTTTTGGTACTTTAATCCATTAGGTGAAATTTTGTGGTGCAGTAATTCCACTATTATTCTGTTCTTACTTTTGTGGTAAATATGGGTGTTTAAAAAATTGTTTCTCCCGCTTCTTTGAAGGTGTTTTGTGTAGCAGTTGTCTTATTGGTGGCACGTTTTCTACCTCTGAAAACATGTGTATGAAGTATGCATGTTCATTGCACTTTTGGCATGATGCATTAACATGTTTTAAACTTCAGGCCCTTCCACTGCCAAGGTGAGTTCAGGCTGGGCGGCTGCACCCCTGGGAGCAGGGCAGTGCTGCACTGAGCCAGGCGGGAGCTGGAAGAGGAGGCAGCACACTGGGTTGGGCAAGGTGCGGGGCTAGGGCTAACAGCAGTCTTACTGAAGGTTTCCTGGAAACCACACACATGCTGTTGCCACTAACCTCAACCTTACTCGGTCCTGACCGGCTCGGCTTCTGTTTATTTATTTCATCTCTACTCAGTACTGCCCTGTTCCCTGGTTTTAAAGTTGTATTGAAATGCATACCTTGTGATGATGCTGTCACATTTTGTCTCTTTTGTGTGTCATGCCACTTAATATGTTAATTAAGGGGGGAAAAAAAAGGCCAGAAATGGACACTTGGCCCATAGACTGTACCTGGCAGGCTTATGTTGTACCTGTAATGAATTGGTGGTTTCCATCTGATTCCTAGTGGGTCTGTGTAATTGTAATTTATTCGTTTGTTTGTTCAGATGTTTAACAAATATTTGCTCTATGTGAGATATTTCGGGGGAATCAGCAATGAGGAAGGAGGGGGACGATTTAAAAGGAAACAGAAAAAAACAAAACAAAACTAGATATAGCCATACTCTCACTGAACTTAAAATTCCTGTGGGAACAAATAGTATTTAGTTTACAAAAATCGAGAATGGGTTTGCATACCGTCTAAGATAATCATCTTTCTGTTACTCTCCTATTCTGAGGGTTTGTCAGAGTGGCTTGCTGAGAGGAGGAGCCTCAGTTTTTTTTTACCTGACATTTGGGAATGGATTTGTATCCTGTTAATATAAAATGCTGTCTGTGTAGAAGTTTGTTATGAGCAAAATCTTACTGTAACTATTTTATTCTCCTTCATTGTTGAGTATTTCTCTTTGCTGGGTCACATAAAAGTAATGTTAATTAGGGTGGGGAAGATTTTTATGATTTTCTCTAAGGGTTCTTTATCTTGTTTTTGGCTATATTTTTGCAGCATGGTGAGAACTGTAGACTTTTTTTGTAGGAAGATGTGTACATACATAAAATTTTGCATACAACCTGTAAACCCTTAAAGATGCATAGGCTAAGACCTCTGCTCTGGATTATCTGTTGTAATAAAATGTTATTTTATTTTGGAATGTGGGATGATTTCTCTATTCTTATTTTGTGCTGCTGCAATGTAAGTGGAAGAAGAGTCATGTTTTTACACTCCGGGAGGGCAAGGTGCGGGGCTAGGGCTCTATGTACTATCATTGTGTGTGATAGTACAGCATTGCCCTACGTACTACCTGTGTATGATGTCCTATTTTAGTTGGCTGGGTCTTAAGGAAAAGCTAAAGTTTTCAATTTTTCTCCCAGGTACTGGGGAGAGTACTTTTAATTACTTCCTGCTTTTTTTGAGTTTGTGGTATGTGTGCTTCAACTATGTTGATCAACAAGATAAACTGTTTTAGTAATATGGATAGACTTCAGCCACGGTTAAAAAGTTTTAAAGGTAAAGATGGTACTTCATTTTGACATTTAAAAAAGTTTTTCTCAGTGACTAATTTGATAACATTTGGAGTTGTATAACACTTATGTTTTGAAAGAATTTAAAAGTGGAAATAGGAAATTGTTATCCATCATTCGTAGTCTGACCTTGTCAGTGGCTACTGTGAGAGCACTGGTTGGAATGTTATTAAAAATTCTAACTCTTAGGAAATGCTTCTAAAGCAGTCATGGGACCAACAGACTGGTCTGGTCACCTTCACATCTGTATCCACCAGGTGGTACTAGCTACCTTTATTTACTGCTTTGAATTCTTGAGCAAGCATAGCAGTTTGGGATGGGGGAGGCTGGCAATATGACATATCAGTCAATGTAGATGGGTTATCCCACTGGGTTCCATAACTTCATTAATACTGGAAGAATAAGTTTTTGAATTAATATACATTAAAATTTGATACAAATTGATGACTGTTGTATGGCATCCACTATGATTTTAAAATATACTTATTGTTGATTTCTTCATTGCAGCTGATGAAGTTTGTTCCCTCATCACCTAGGCACACAGACTAGATAGACAAGCACAAATATACAGAAGCAATGTATTTAAGGAGGAGTTAGAGTTGACATTTTACATTTAAAGGAACTGTGAGATGGTGGTTCACGTGCCTGAGAGCTTTCCATTGCTGTTGGTGAAATGAGAAATGTATGTGAAATAGCTCTTTGCTAATGTTTTAATATGCATTTTGGGAATATAGAAGGATTACTTTATTAGATATTAAACCTATTCTGGAAATTATACTTAAGATTATTGTGCAAAGGTGAATTGTAGTATTAGCCTCATTTTTTTTTTCTATTCCTCATTTTTAGGATGTTTTTTCCCAAATTGATTTTGCCACATATAAGAAATGTTTGAAAAGGTGACTTCTTAGTTACCAGAAATAATTATCTCAAAGACTTAATCTAAAAATCAGTATAATAAATCAGATTCAGCAAGGTAACATAGTATATGTAAGAATTATACTTAAAACAATTTTTTGACCTTTGGCCTGAGACCAGTCTCCCAAGCTGCCAGTGAGGTTGTATGTTAGGATCTAAGATGTAGACATTTTTAACCCCTCAGTTTTAATTGTGCACACCTGAGGAAAGAGGTTTTGCTCTTTTGTGGGTGCAGGTGACTAGTAGTTTGTCTACCTGTGCCTGAATGACTGAGGCATAGGGCTGCCTCGGGCAAAGCCACTGTTGCCACTAGGGTCTTCTAAAGCTCAGGGAGAACACCCTTCAACTCCGACCAGGTATTTACTTCTGACTTTGATCAGCATCCTCTGCAAATAACATTTATTTAGTGTCCTGTTTTGCATGATGGTGGGGTAACCACTGAATAAAAAATTAGACATGAACATAAGTCTCTGCTTAGCTCTCTGGCAGGGTTAAGCATAGCGGGGTAAAGCCCGGGGTTCAGACCAAATGTTTGAAGAAGAAATCAGGATTAGGTTTCTGAGCTTGTGTTAGAGAAATTCAGCTCTGGGAGAAACATCTAGCAGCATTAGGTCCACAGCAGATCAGAATCAGGATGTCAAAGCAAATTCAGGGACACAGGAGAAAAGAGTTAGAAAGAGTAGATGAAGTGTCACAGTTCAGACCTATGAGCTGAAATTGAATGGAATTATAAGCACAAGTTGCTAACAGAGAGAAGAAACCTCCCAGTACCTGACAGTGTGTCCTCTACCTGATCCTGCCTGCAGTATAAGTTCTGCATGCCTAGAGTATACCAGCTTTCCTGTTGTTTTCTAACAGACTCATGTCCAGATGGACTTCTTGGAGAATAGAGCTAGTATTGGGCAGGTAGGTGGAGCTAGGAACATGTTAGGCCCCCCCCTCCCCATGGTAAAATATTTAGGATTTTAATGGAAAGGCCTTTAAAGAAAGTTGTTGTACTTTACAATACTATAAGACTAATGGAGTCATGCAGCAACAAAATCTAGAAAAAAGGGGACATTATAGAAATTATTTATTACATAATAGGTGATTTATTCTGAGTATTTATGGTTTTCCCCCTGCTTTTGGCTAATACAGTCCTCTGTTGTACCCCTCTCCATGCTGTAAGGTGAAAATTGTATGTTCTAACTCTTTAAGGGTAAAAATACATTAAAAATTCCATCTTGCTGATTTCCACCTGTGAAATGCCACACAATATTAGGAATCAACAAAGAACAGTAGAATGTAAAGTTTGTTTTTTTAAAAACTATAAGTGTTATGGTTATAAAACATCAAGCACACAGACAGTAAAATTAATTAAGAACTTTCCGTGTATGAGAACAAAGATACATTTAAACGTATACTAGAAGATGCTTTTTCCTCAGTAGAATGCAAATTTTATTTTATAACAAATTCAGCTTCTGTGAATCTTAAAAATGTAAAAATACGTTTTATATCAAATTAAGCTTCTGTGAATCTTAAAATTGTAAAGTACCAAGGCTTTTCCACATCAAATAAAAATCAGGTTTACCTTCACATCCAAAAAAAAAAAAAAAGTTCGAGTACAGGTTCAACAAGAATGATGTAAAATCTGAAATGAGTAGCCAAAATTTTAAGTTATCAATGGATAGCTAAATTTGATTGTTCTCTCAGTAAACTCCAGTTTGAAACAACAACAAAAAATTATTGTTAACTAAAATATGAAGAACATTTCCAGGAAATTATCATCTTGTTTGAAAATAAAAAATGTAACCCATGACAAATAAGAAAAATACAAACCATATGCTGCACAGAGGGAACAAAAAAGACAATCAGCCTTTATAGGAATCAAGAGAACACCATGGACTTATAAAAATTTCCTAAATCAGTAGCATATTGTGTATTATCATATGTAGAAAACTAATTAAAGTAAGGTAGTTTTTATTAGTTGCATAATCTAAAAATATGAGGAAACTTTGACTGTTTCTCTCAAAAGACCACAGAGCTGTCATTGAAATAAACATTTCTTGAGACAATGGGCAGAGTTCTCATTCATGGGAAATATGTTCTTTTTTTCACACAGTGAAACTGAGAAAAATTATATCAAATGTGAAATCTTTTTCTCTAAAGTAATCTTCTTAAATACCCTAGTGATGGAATACCTCAGAAATGCAATTTTTCAATTCATACTTGAAACAGATTATTATTAAACAAACACACATAAATCCTATTCCTTGGCACCAGACTTCAAACATTAAAGAATTTTTTAAACCACCATACTGTTCTTAAAATTGTATTT